TACCCTCCAAAGACGTCTTATATATGGTCACTGCGATCATATCTGCTTCAACTGTATGCATTTCAGAAGCTAGACTGCAGAGTTTATGTGTAAACATAGTCGTAGTCGAAGTTCCTTGTTCTGCAAAATGTGTGCGTTATACGCGCTCAGAAGTCGTCTCATATGGGCAATGCGAACTCGTTTGCTTCAATAGTATCCATGTGAGAGGATAGGATAGAGATAGAGTGTGTACACCGATGAAGTCGATGTTACTTCATTTGCCTATTGAACTTGTTACATACCCTACAGAGTCGTCTTTTACGGTCACTGCCATCATATCTGCTCCAACTGTATGCATGTCAGATGCTTGACGGCAGAGTTACAGTGTAAACATAATCGAAGTCGATGTTTCTTGTTGTGCATGTTATGTGCGATATACCCGCTTGGAAGTCGTCTTATATGGGCATCGGGAACACGTCTGCTGCAATAGTATCAATGTGAGTTGATAGGATAGAGATATAGAGTGTGCACACCGATGAAGTCGATGTATCTTCATCTGCCTATTGTACTTGATATATACCTTTCAAAGTCGTCTTATATGGCCACTACGATCATATCTGCTTCAAATGTATGCATGTCAGAAGCTAGACTGCAGAGTGACAGTGTAAACATATTCGACGTCGTAGTTCCTTGTTCTGCAAGCTGTGTGCGTTATACCTGCTTGATAGTCGTCTCGTATGGTCATGGCGAACTTGTCTGCTTCAATAGTGTCCATGTGAGATGATACGATAGAGAGATATAGTGTGCACAACGATGAAATCTATGTATCTTCATTTGCCTATTGAACTCGTTGAATACTCTTCAAAGTCATCTTATACGGTCCCTGCAATCTTATCTGCTTCAACTGTATGCGTGTCAGATGCTAGACTGCAGAGTTACAGTGTAAACATAGTTGAAGTCGAAGTTTCTTGTTCTGCAAACTGAATGCGTTATACCCGCTTAGAAGTCGTCTAATATGGTCAATGCAAACTTTTCTGCTTCAATATTGTCGATGTAAGATGATAGGATAGAGAGATATAGTGTGCACAACGATGAAATCTATATATCTTCATTTGCCTATTGAACTCGTTGAATACCCTTCAAAGTCGTCTTATACGGTCACTGCAATGGTGTCTGCTTCAACTGTATGCATGTCAGATGCTAGACAGCATAGTAACAGTGAAAACATAGTCGAAGTCGGAGTTTCTTGTTCTGCAAGATGTGTGCGATATACCCGCTTAGAAATCGTCTTATATGGTCACTGCAATCGTATCTGCTCCAACTGTATGCATGTTAGATGCTAGACGGCAGGGTTACAGTGTGAACAGAGTTGAAATCGAAGTTTCTTGTTGTGCAAGTTGTATGCGTTATATCCGCTCGGAAGTTGTCTCATATGGGCATTGCGAACTCGTCTGCTTCGATAATATCCATGTGACATGATAGGATGGAGAGATAGAGTGTGCACACCGATGAAGTCGATGTATCTTCATCTGCCTACTGTACTTGCTATATACCCTCCTGTCCCTATCCTCCCTAGGAACGCACGATGTTCTTCGAACATTATAGGGATTTCCTTTCGTGCGCTCCAAGCCATGGAAAAAAAATATCTGCTTCAACTTAATGCATGTCAGATGCTAGACTGCAGAGTTTCAATGTAAACATAGTCGAAGTCGATGTTTCTTGTTCTGCAAGCTGTGTGCGTTATACCCGCTTGGAAGTCGTCTTATATGGTCAATGCGAACTTGTCTGCTTCAATAATGTCCATGTGAGATGAAAAGATAGAGAAATAGAGTGTGTACTCCGATGAAGTCGATGTATATTCATCTGTCTATTGTACTTGCTATATACCCTCCAAAGTCATCTTATATGGTCACTGCGATCATATCTGCTTCAACTGTTTGCATGTCAGATGCTAGACTGCAAAGTTACAATGTAAACATAGTCGAAGTCGATGTTTCTTGTTCTGCAAGCTGTGTGCGTTATACCCGCTTGGAAGTCGTTTTATATGGTCAATGCGGACTTGTCTGCTTCAATAGTGTTCATGTGAGATGAAAAGATAGAGAAATAGAGTGTGCACTCCGATGAAGTCGATGTATATTCATCTGCCTATTGTACTTGCTATATACCCTCCGAAGTCATCTTATATGGTCACTGCGATCATATCTGCGTCAACTGTATGCATGTCAGATGCTAGACTGCAGGGAAAACATAGTCGAAGTCGAGGTTTCTTGTTCTGCAAACTGTATGCGTTACCTGAAGTGTCGACAGCGCGCCCTTGAACGCGGAGGTGACCTTGAAGGTGAGACAAAGTGACCTTGGAGGAAGGTTGTACGAGTAACCTTCGCATATGTGACCTTGGGAACAAGTGACCTTGAGTTGTAGAGAGAGAGAGAGAGAGAGACCTCGACCTTGGGGAGGGAGGTGAAAGCGTGTGCGACCTTGAAAATGGGAGTAGGCTGGTCGAGGTCGTTTTGGTAGAAGTGGGGTGCTGTGTTACGTCATGACTCCCTCCTATATAAACCCAATAGTTGTGTCCATGAGAGCACAGTTCTCTCTCAATACTTTCATCAAACATCAAGTTGAATAGTTCTTCGTGAGTGATAAATCATCTAAACAAAATGTTAGTTTGCAGTGTGTGCGCTAAACCTTTCACACGTAGTGACAATCTACGACGTCATCAAAGGGTTGCATGTGTGGGAAATTTCAACCCATCTATTGCAAAGAAGCCTCGACTGGAAGATGGCACTCAGCAAGCAGCAACTTCTGCAAATGTGCAGACATGTACTGTTTGCAATAAGACCATTCCAACCGATAAAATGGGTACGCATAAAAGGACATTGGAGCATCGGACAAACGCTTGCGTCAATTATAGGGACGGAGTATATGTGATTGAAAATGCGTTCAAATGCCGCATTGTGAGCTATCGATTGGAATGCAGAACTGATGTATTTGATCACAATACGTTTTTTAATGAAAATAAGGCAACCATTATATCTTTATTGGATAATATAATCTCGATTCACCACTCCATCAAGGTGAATATGGAAGTGTTCGGAAGATACATTTCACAATCCCAAGATCTTCATGACATCAAATCCTTCATGACGCCAAATCACATCATGGATTCATCGCTCCAAATGTCATCCCCATATTTTTTCATAATATAAGTGGCTACGATAGCCACCTTTTCATCAAGCAATTATTCGATAGAGAAGAGAGAGTTGATTGTATCGCGCAAACCAAGGAAAAATATATTTCATTTACTGAACATATTTTAGTAGACGAATATTTGGGAAAAAACGGTGTGAATCAGAATGTCTTCTTGAAACTGCGATTCTTGGATAGCTACAAATTCCTTGCCCAACCCCTGCAATCCTTGGCCAAAAATTTGAATGAATCTCGATTTTTCGAAACTGCTAGATATTTTCGCGACCCTGAAGAATTCAAATACATGACGCAGAAGGGAGTTTTTCCATATAGTTTCATAACGTCTATGGATAAATTGGATAATGAAGATCTGCCATCAAAAAGTGATTTTTTTGATAATTTATCTAATACACATATTTCGGACGAGGATTATCGAAGAGCCGAGCATGTTTGTTTGAAAACGTACAAGTTAGATCCGTGCCAATACTTCACTGCACCCAGTTCATCGTGGGATGCTATGTTGAGGTACACAAAAATCGAATTGGAATTGTTAACCGACATCGATATGATTCATTTTTTCAAAAAAGGTATAAGAGGCGGGATAAGTCAATGTAGTCTGAGGAGTCATGTTGCGAATAATAAGTTCATCCCAAACTCCAATCCGAATGAACCATCAACATTTATCATGTATTTAGATGCAACTAACTTGTACGGTCATAGTATGTCACAGCCGCTACCAACATCCGATTTTAGGTGGTTGACCAACCAAAAAATTATAGAGTTAGATGTCATGAGCGTTGAAAACTATAGCCCGTATGCATATAAGCACAACGTACATCTATTTGGCATGCGGCCTGTGTCTACGCTTTCTGATTGGTTGATGCCAAATAACAGTACGTTCTGCCATTGTGGAGTCAGAGTCATGTACGTTTTGCGCGTGAATTGAAAATGCATGTGTATGCCAAATAACAGTACATATTGTAGGAGTCGCGTCAGCGCCTTGTACGTTATGGCATTAAATTGAAACTGCAATAACTGCATGGGATTTCAAAGATTTATTATAATAATGATAATACAAAATCGAGAATACTCAGCACATTCACACATCGATAGTGCGTTCTAAAAACATAAATGTACAGGGTAGGGTGTCCCACAACAATTAAGACAGGGATTATCTCGAAACTCAAGAGTAGTTGAAGATTGTAATTTTGGGGTTGAATATTATATTACCCAATGAGCTTTACGTATTCGGTCACGTGACATCAGATTCAAAATTATTAATGGGACAACCTGTTCGTTTTGGAATTACTATGTTCCTCTCGATAAAACAATTCCAACAATCTATCACACTTGTAGCCTAAAACGATTAATTCAAGAACTATACCAGGTACTTCAATATCTTTTGTCCCACAGCGATTACTACAAACGTCTGAAACGAGCAATTGCCAAATTATTTGAGTTTAGGGTGTCAATGTTCATGTGGGCAATCCTATATTCATTGTGATGATTGAAACAATGCAAAATTATATTAATCATTCATATTTTATTGAAGAGCGTAGTCAAAAAACTTTGGGACCAAGAATATTAACGTACCTGTAGTTCTTAAATTAATCGTTATAAATAGAGACCACAATTATTGTAATCGTTTGTTGAAATCGTTTCATCAGGAGGAATGTGAAAATGCCAAAATATACAGGTTGTCCCATTAGAAATTTTGAATCTGACATCACGTGACCAAGAACAAAAATCTCATTGGGCAACGTAATATCGAAAAAAAGGTTTTCAATTGCTTCAATTTTCGACCTCAAAATTTCAATTTTCTACTACTCTCTAGTTCCGAGATATTCTGTTTTAATCGTCGTGGGACATTTCATCAGTTTCTAGAGTCCACTGCCATGTGATTTTGCATTCGCTTGGTTACTTTCCACATTCAGCTGTAAATTTCGTTTCCTTTTCATAACTCGTGTTCTGTTTTCATTTTGGGCTGGTCTTCCACTGGGCATCCTCTTACTGCCTCTTGTAATACCAGGTCTTCTTCTGGCAATGGTTGTAGGTTGCACACGAATTGCTGTACGACAACGCCTTAAAGGAATACTGGATCCTGCCGTGCATAAAAAACTGTCCCATGCATTTCTGGTGGTGACTTTTTGGAGTCGACCCAAAAATTTTTGGATAGATGCTTCACTGGTGTCAAATTTTGTGTGGCAATCCTGCATAAGTTTCAACAATGCTTCAAATGATGATGAGTCAATGTTATTGTATGGCGTTTGATTTTTAGATACAGGGTGGTTTTCATTGTTATCATATACATAATTTAATTCTGCATAAGAATGTTGTTCACATGAATCAGTTGCTGATACAGAAGAAGATGCATATGTTTGTCGCGAACTAACAAGAGGTTTGTAAAATTCTCGACCTTTAGCCTTTTCACCTAATGCCAAGCATGCGATTTGGTAACGGATCTCAGAATCATTTGCGTCCAGGTCGTAATAAAATAAATAAACTCCTGCTTGGTGTTTACATATTTTACCTAGTCGACCAACAGGACAAGTGCAACAATCAATTTCAATATTCACATCATATAGAACTTGGTCATTTTTTTCACTTGGGACTCTGTATGTGAATTCATCTACTTTTTCTATGCTATCCTTTCTTAGATAGCTTGCTTTCTTCAGTTGTGATTTCAAAATAAGATGATCTCCTTCACTGTATCCTCTATTAGCGAAGTTTCTCAGACGTCGAATATAATATTGTTCCATAGTTGTACAAGTAAAGTCCACTAAGGCAACTACGTTGTAAGCTTTACAGCGAGAAAGTACTATGTCTTTATATAGACGTACACATACTTCAGAGAAGTTATTCGTTTGATGACCATGAGTATGGCCGTCACGATAAGCCAAACACCAGTCTTCGCGTCGGGTCCAATAGTTGTCAACATATTTCACCCAATGGGGATATCTTTTTGATAGATCGTTATTTGATGCATTATAAAAAGCATCAGCAGCGTTCTCTGGAGATGAAGCTGTTAATATATTTCTAAATGAAAAATACAACTGTTGCCTTTCCTCTTTTGGTATGTTATGTTTTCTTTCCATCAGCCATCTCCAAACTGATTGCGCTATGTGGAAAGAACATAATAGTAAACGAGATTGTGGAAAAACTGTCTTGAGGGCTTGTCTTTCTGCTTCGCTATCATCTGTCATAAAGCACACAGGAAATCCTTTTTCATTGAAGGCCGAATCGCCAACAGCTTCTCTTACTATTTCAAAGCATGCTATGTAGTCCTGTTTTGCTTGACCCTTGTTTATTATTACTGCTAGTGGAACAGCACCTGCTGAGCATACCGTCAGCATAAAAGTTATCGAATGATTTTCTGCGTCACAAGACGCGGTGCTGTCTACAAATACAATTTCTCCAGCACAGTGTAATTTATGTGCTCTCCTCATGATTGGTGTAATTATGACAACTGTAAAAGGGTCTTCCTTAACCCTTACAGTAACACCTTTTTCAGCGTACTGTGGCTGTTTTTCTCGAAGTTTCTAAAAATATTGATGTTATAAGTATACTATACTTATTACAGTTGAAGAAAAATCTACCGAAAAAAAAAAATGAATTGAAAAAAGTCATTCACCATATTATGAATCATCATATGAAGTATAAATCAGTAATTTTTTGTGGATTATTTTTCTACAAATGTTATTAAAAGTGGCTCTTCTATAAGTCACTTATCAGGCAGCAAAGGTGTACTTTTCCTGCCTAGGCAGCAGAAGTTTGTTGCTATGCAACGTTTCAAGTAATTTGAATGAAATTAGTAATCAAAATTGACACTGACATTGGGTGGACACAAAATGATGAAGTTTCAATTTAAAAATTACAGAAAATTGGTTTTATAACATTTGAAGAAGAAATTATATGTTTCACATGACAGCAAAGTAGATTGACTGTCTCAGCTGAATTCCTAGCATCGCTACGCTCGGCTATGAACTATCAGCCGCGGTAGTCAATCTACTACTTTGCTGCCTATAGTAAAACAAATAAATATATGAACTTTTTTCTTTGTCAAACGTATTAATAGGTCAATAAACCGTGGAAAATATAACTTACCTCTAGAATTCCTTCGCCAAAACGAGATCCTAAATTAACACTACGCCATTTGTCGTACCAATATCGCACTGTCCGATATTTTGGGTTCATGGAACCATTGGCAAGATCTTCTTCGTCCACTTCTAATTCGAGTTTGTTTAAATGGTAATTGATAGATTCAGTTATGCCCATACCATTATCGAAGTATGTCTCAAACAATTGTCTGGTTTCTGATGAAGCTGGCAACGCCGACAATGCATCTGCAGTGTCTATGTTGTGTGTGTGTTCATTATTTATAGTAATTACTGCCGGAAAACCTTCCTAAAATATTCAGAATTAAGTTTGACCACATTATTTCATTATCAACTGAAAACTCAAAGCAACAATATATAAAAAATAATCCGATAACATCTCTATTCTCAGTCTTTTCCTCACCTTAACATGTACATGCTTTGCGATTGTATTTTTTGTAGTTTTCCTAACCACTATTGTAATTTTAGCCTTACATTCGCAATTTTTTGATTTCTTGTTTGTGTTGGATCGCTTTTTGAATGAGCTGTGATGGCAAACATATTTCTTTCTGTAAAAGATACGTATATTCATTGTACAGGTGAGTTATATAAATATAAACTCTCTTGAAAAAAGAACCGCCTGTATACTATATTAAGGTTTCAACACCCTATAGATGATTCACAACATTAACTCACTTACAAAAAAAAAACATAATAACGTAATATAAATTTTTTTGAATATAGTAACTACTAAAACACCCTGTTGGCTGTTACTCAGACAGGAGACACATTCTATATATGTGATTTGGGTTAAATCTTGATATTTTGAGCTCAAGATTTCATAGTCGAAATATGTTCAATTAAATTATTCAAATATTTCCAATTATTAATGAAACACACTGTACTCACTATACACATACAGATTTTTTTGGTAAGCTATCGAATGTGACCAATCAGTAAGAGACTCCTTTGTTTTTCGACGAGCTTTCGAAAATGTTTTTTTCTCTATCAAGATTAAACTGAAACATCGAATGAACAATAATGTTAATAATATATACATATAAATTACATCAATGGAATTGATATACCTACTAACATGAAATAGGTACCTACACATTTTCCAAAGCTCGACAAAAAACGAATCTTACTGATTGATCACATTCGACTGCTTCACACGAATATTTCCATGAATACTTATTGTTTAATCAAACAGTCACGAAAGCTTCCACTTGTGAAATATCCGAGGAAATATCTACATACAAAGTCGCGCTGAACAATTCCTATTGCTTCTACCCACCCCTACCTCCTCCAAACCCCTAACGAAATCTAACAAAAAAAAATTCTCTGTTACATCAGAACTATCATAAATATCACCCCACTTTCAGCACAGATTTAAATTCATAATAAGTAATAAAACATTATCACTTAGCTATACTTACGAACACACAAAAAGTTTTAAATTGGGAGCACTTTCACGTACGATCCATTTCGTGTGATTTAACCTAGAAAATTCCCGAATCCACATATCACATTCTTCTAGATTGTGTAAATCTCCATAAACTGTTATTTTATCATTGTTGGTAACTCTATTCGTCTTATATTTGAAAGATTGGGGTAATTCCATATTGAAATAAGGTATTGAAATCAAACTCATCTAGGTATTCAACTCAATGATAGGATGCACGTGCTGCTTGCATAATAATGACTGACCAGTGACCAAAAACAAAAACAAAAGCGCGAGCCCTATGCATATGGCAAAGTGTACATCCATTTTAGGTATCATACGCAATTCGTACTGCCTATTTGGCGGCGAGAAGATCTGCAGCAAATTGTACACCTATTTGGCGCCGGTATAGCAATGTGTACTGTTATTTGGCATCAACCAATCAGAAAGCGTAGATACAGGCCGTTTGCCAAATAGATGTACGTTTTGCTTATATGCAGCCCGTATGGGTATGTCCTTGAAGTTGATGTGTACTATCCTGAAGATTTACATGATGCACACTCAGATCTACCCTTCCTCGTGGAATCCATCGCTCCACCCGGATCGAAATCGGAAATATGTTGGTGTATGTTGGGATCATTGAGAGGTTGGAGAGCAATCTGGGATGCGTGATACAGGATGATCGTTGTACTCCTGCCTTCCTGCTGATGTTTCTAAAGCGCCTCCAAGGGAAATATCATTACAGTATGTTGACCTCAATACAGAAATGCGTAATAAGAGTACAAATAAAGCTGATAAAAGTTTATACAAGAATATGGTCAACTCAGTTCATGGCAAAACCATGGAGAATGTTGATAAAAGAAGCGATATCAAACTTGTGACTCATTGGGAAAGTATCACAAAGAGGAAGGGTGCTAATGCATTGATAGCACTCCCCAATTATAAAACCTGTGAAGTAGTCCATGAAAATTTCGTAGCAATCCATATGGGAAAAGTTGAAATGCATTATGATAAACCGCTGTATTTAGGTTTCAGCATATTAGATGTGTCAAAAGTCGTTATATATAACTTTCTGTATGAATGCATTAAGAAACATTTCTCTGGTAAATCGTGGCTATTGTATACTGATACGGATTCTTTGACATTGAAAATAGAAACAGAAAACTTTTATAATTTCATGAAGGAGAATATACGGTATTTCGACACATCTAATTACCCCGTAGATAACAAATTCAATATTCCAATAACGAAATCAGTAGTGGGAAATATGAAGGACGAATTTCCAAATGATCCTATTGTGAGCTTCTATGGGACGGGTGCCAAAGCGTATTACGTTCAATCTTCGAATTCCGAATTGAAAAAAGCGAAGGGTGATTCAAGGCCACCTGTTAGAAGTGAATCATCGATGGATGATTATAAGAAAATCGTAGAAAATGGTGGCTTGATATTCAGAAAAATGAATACCTTTCGTAGCGATCGGCACGATATTTATACTGAAATGAAAAACAAAGTCGCCCTTTCCTACCATGACGATAAACGGTTTATCATACCTAATACTGTTGAAACTTTACCTTGGGGGCACAATGATATCGAATTTCATCAAACGAGTCCTGAACGTAATATGCTTTGGGTACAACAAGCAATATCTGCTACAATGCAAACAGCTGAGAAATCAAATTCTAGCGATAATTTAGATGACCTGATAAAAATGTTGATGGAACACTCAGAGCCTCGATGATAATTATAATAATAATAATAATGCGAACTCTGTACCCAACCTCATACGCTTATATTCATATTTATTTTTTAATCTAGTCTCCATATAATGTGATACGAGTTCTGTACAATCTTCATCTAGTCTACATATTATATTATATATATATATATCACACGTATTTTTGGATAGATTATTCCTTAGATTATTTGAGATGTGTTTTATTCATATTATAACATATATCAGCCAGCTGATGCCGCACCATGATAATATTGAATATCGAATGAAATTTTGGTTCGCATTGAATAATGCAGCCTTGGGTGGAGGTTGGCATTGAGCTACGCACACATTTTCGATAAGGTTCGTTATGGTGAAAAAAGACTAGGTGGGGGAGGAAGGGAGAGATGTAGGTGGATATTAGCGGTGGAAGGAGAATAGGTGGAGCTTAGCAGATAAAACTCATTGAATACACGGAGACTCCTCATTCTGTTAGCAGATATCATCCACTAGCTCCACTACCAGAGTATTCTCGATATACCATCTTTTTTTGTGCCAATCCAACTACATCGTCGATTAACCAATTGTAAGTACAAGTTTTGTTGCCATATGGATCATTGCTAGTGAATTGTATTTCGATTCACAGTTTTTCATCAAATAGTCTACGATGATCTGCAAATGTGCAGACATGTACTGTTTGCAATAAGACCATTTCAACCGATAAAATGGGTGCGCATAAAAGGACATTGGAGCATCGGACAAACGCTTGCGTCAATTATAGGGACGGAGTATATGTGATTGAAAATGCGTTCAAATGCCGCATTGTGAGCTATCGATTGGAATGCAGAACTGATGTATTGGATTGCAATACGTTTTTTAATGAAAATAAGGCAACCATTATATCTTTATTGGATAATATAATCTCGATTCACCACTCCATCAAGGTGAATATGGAAGTGTTCGGAAGATACATTTTACAATCCCAAGATCTTCATGACATCAAATCCTTCATGACGCCAAATCACATCATGGATTCATCGCTGGATTTGGAGGCCGTGGTTGACACATTCAAGGACATCTTATTGAATCAAACGACCGAATTCGAGGAGCGTGATTCTGGTGAGTTGGTATGATTTTTGAAATATTTCTGATTATTAACAGATGTTACTATTGTTATAGGTTGGGCTTTAGAAAAAATCATGTTCCTCGAAATCAATATCAACAAGTACAGCCCTCTGCGTGGATGCTCCTACATGAAGCTACCTAGCTTCATAGAGAATAAAATGGCCGTTGTAAACATAGTGAATCAGGACGAGTGCTGTTTCGCTTGGGCTGTGACGTCTGCACTGTATCCGGCAAAAGCTAATGTTTGCGAAACCTCTTCATATCCGCACTATTCTACAGTTCTGAATTTGGTGGGTATAGAGTTCCCTGTTAAAGTGAGTAGCATTCCAAAATTCGAAATTCTCAATGATTGTTCCATCAACGTTTACGGGTTAGAGAGTGTATTTGAAAATCATCAAGTGAAATATCATGTAGTCGACCCACTGTATTACTCCAAAAAAAGAAAGAGTAAACATGTGAATTCACTTTTGACCACAGATGATGAAACTGGAAATAGCCACTATTGCTGGATAAAGAATTTATCGAGGCTGGTATCTAGCCAGATATCTGCCAAAGAGCATAAGAAATTTTTTTGCGACGGTTGTTTGATATATTCCTCAGATGAAACAAAGTTGTAACGTCATCAGCTGAATGATTGTAATCATACATATACTACAACTCCGTCCACAGAGATCAAAGTCGATAAATTTGGAAATTCAGTACCTGAAAACATTTTGAAATTCGAGAAATTTGAGAAACAGATGAAAGTACCATTCGTTATTTCTGCAGATTTCGAATCAGTTCTGAAACCGATACATACTAGTCAGCCAGATCCGAATAAACCCTTTACTAATAGAACATT